TATAACCTTGCAAAAAAAAAAAAAAAAAAGAGGCCCTATTTTTATACCAAACTTCATATATATTTCTAAAATTTTTTGTTTTTGTTTTTAATATTGTATTTTTAAGAGTCTAACCTCTACTCTAGATTTTTAATCTTTGTTTTTCAGTATTTGATATGAATTTTGGACATTTAAGAATCCCAATATTTAGTACCCATTTTTACTCAGGAGTGTGTTGATTACTCTCTCCCACTTTTGACTCTACGTTTTTTCCCTCACATCACCTCTATTTCCTCCCTCCCCCTTCTCTTCCCAATCCAATTCTGTGAATCTCTGTGGGTGTCTGTGCTATGGAGAACACTGGGAACAGAGAACTGCATAGATCTGTCTCCTCTTGAGTCCCCCTTTTTCTCCTCCTGGTAATCTCTATCTCCCTCCTCCCTCTCCTCTTCTTCATGTAACTCTGTGAACCTCTCTGGGTGTCCCTCATGGTGGAGAATCTTTTCACCATTAACCTAGAAGTTTTATTATCAGGCATTATTTTAATACATCAGGAGATTGCTTTTACTTTTATGACATTATTGTTATTATAGTTTAAAAGATTTTAAAGCTTTTTTTCCTTGGAGAATATAAAATTGTTGACCTGGAACTAAAAAAAAAAAAAAGTTAGAATATATTTTTCAATGGTGATAATAATACCAAGACAGAAATTAAATTGTGTTTGCTTTCCCCAAAGACTCTTTCCTGTTACAAACTTCTGGAGAAATAGTATAATGGAGGAATAATGTATGATGATCAAATAGGCTCTAACTTAGTAGGCCTGTATGTCTGATTGAAAATACCAGAAAGAGAAAGAAATACTTAGAAAACTGACATTAGATACTTAACATGTAGAAAAATATATATCTGAAATCAATAACCAGCATCATACTTCTCTATTCATGAAGCTCAGGAATGAAACAGTCAGGTCTGCTACACCACCACCAGAATATTGGTTGATAAAGATTTATCCTACTGGGTGTACATGTTTTAATACACAGGTTGGAAACATGAGACTAACTAGTGAGGAGCTAAAACATGCTTGTGAGTGTGAGCAGAGGGACTAGTACTCAAGAGGAGATTCTGATTATGGCAGTAATGGCAAAATAACTTACCAGGAAAATCTGGATGTTAGTTACATGGTCAAAGAAAAGTGAATAGAAAATTTGCACACATACACCCAAAAAAGGTAGATGGCCATTATATCTTTAAAAGAAAGTTCAAGTTCACCAGGAATCAAAGAGATGCGTAATTAAATAAGATAATTTTATAGTAAATGTTAAATTGGTGAGATTAAAAATAATAATACCAGGCATTGACAACTGCTATTGTATACTGTGGCTGGAACTCAGATTGCTGTGCTTACTTAATTTAGAAAGCAGTCTAAGCAATATGTATCCATTGTCCTATCAGTGTGGCAAAATCTCACTACATGATCTTCATTTTTAAAAAGCACGTTACAAAGATGCAAGTTTCTGTTTTTGCAGAAATGTATATGTGTACTTACACATGGGGAAAAGAGTTCAGAAAAGAATATCTAGAAATTCTGGAGGGGGAAATTAATAATCTCTGATCATGTTTCCAATCTTAGTAAGATTGGAATGGTTTTATCTACTTTTCCATGTACATCTATTTTTACAATTATTTATATTATGTGTATTTATATAATTGGAGGAAGGAGCTCTTATTTGCAGTAAGGTACAAATCATTGGAGAAAAGTCATTATTTAAAAAAAAAAAAAACAGGAAATTTTAGGTAGTATACATACAGTGATCTGAGAACACCATTTTATAGTATATATTAGTTATTTACCAGGCAGGTATATTCATAGATCAGTGGTCTATTCCAGTCAAGCATTTTGTATTTTTACTTGTTTAAAAGATGTATAAGTAAAAAGCCTTATGAAGTTTATCTGTTATATTTTGAAATATATTTCCTTTCTTTTTGTGACACGTTCTCTAACTTTGGTTCCATTTCAAACAGTAGAAGTGAAGCAAAATTATTTATTTTGTCATGTAAGACACTAAGAAATCATAGCTATTTCCCAGTATTACAACTTCAGTTATTAAATTCCAGGAGTCAGTGGATCCTGGATTTAACTTTAATGTGGTTTTTTTCTTTGGTCCTCTTTGTACATATAGTTTTTTTTTTCCCCAACATTTTTTTTGGAAAATTTCAAAACTTAAGAAAGGTGGGAAAAAATTTTTACAGCTGATATCTACCACCTTGATTATGTTTTTAAATTTTCACTGTGATTGCTTTATCTACCACCTCGATTATGCAATTAAATTTTTACTATGATTGCTTTATCTCTGATTTATACAACCCTCTGGTCCTCTACCCATCTGAAAGTTCATCTTATTTTTTTGTGCATTTGAAATGAAGTTGCAGATATCGGTGTTGGTGGTGGTTTAGTTGCTGTTTTTTTTGTGCTAAGTCTCTTCAGTTGTGTCCAACTCTGTGTGACCCTATGGACTGTGGGGTCAGGCTCCTCTGTCCATGGGATTCTCCAGGCAAGAATACTGGAGTGGGTTGCCATTTCCTCCTCCAGGGGATATTCCAGACCCAGAATTCGAACCTGCATCTCTTATGTCTCCTGCATTGGTAGGCAGTTTTTTTTTTTTACCACTAGCGCCGCCTGGGAAGCCCTTAGTTGCTGAGTCTTATCCAACTCTTGCAACCACATGGGCTATCACCTGCCAGGCTCCTCTGTCCATAGGATTCTCCAGGCAAGAATACTGGAGTGGATTGCCATTTCCTTCTTCAGTGGATCTTCCTGACCTCGGGATGGAACCCAGGTTTCCTGCACCGCAGGCAGATTCTTTACCGACTGAGCTACCACAGAAGCTTTTCAGTACCGGTATACTTCCCTCTAAATATTTCAGCATGCATATCACTGACTTGGGCTCAGTGTTTAGAATTCACCTTTTTTTCTTTTGAGGCAAATTTAAAGACAGTAAAATATACATCTCAAGTGTCCTATTGGATGTATTTTAACAAATGAATACACTTGTGATGACCCAATCTCCTGTCAATTAGTGTCACCCCAGAAAGTTCCCTCATACCTCTTCCCAGTCAGTCAATCCCCACTACTTTCAACCCCTGACTCCAAGAACCACTATAATGATTTTTTTCTTCCATACATTACTACTGTCTATTCTAAAACATCATGTAAATGAAATTACACAGTGTGTATTCTGTATAAAGATTCTTTCATTCATCATAAAGTGTTGAAATTCAGTCATGTGGCATATATCAGTTTTTTTTTATTGCTGAGTAATATTCCTAATTTCAACCCATTTTAATATGAACTTTTGAGATTTCTGTAGTAAATATTGTTATTTGATATTTCTTGGTTTATGCTTAAATAAATTATGCTCTAATGAACAGTGTACTTGATTTCCTGTTATTTGTTTATACTATCTTACAGCATAAGTTAATAGTTAGTTGTTATTTATCAGATATAATTGAAGTTCAGAGAAATTAAATGCTTCTCTGAATACAAACACTGTGTTCTCAGAAGAGTACTATATATAGAATTTCACTTAGTTCACCTTAATAGGAATTTAAAGATTAGAGGTACATTGATAATAGCATAACTCTATTTGAAAAGTCAACCATTTCAATTATTGGCATATACTAATTGTTTTAAAAGGAAGTGGGGGAGCCATACGTGGATTTCAAATCTATATTTCTGTAATCTGCATTTATTTGCCCAGATAGTGCTTTCTAAACAGATAATCTATTCCTTAGAGCAATATATAAACAGTAAGTACTCTGTAAGTAGCATGATTTAATAAAGAGTTGACCTATTGTCTCTTTTTTGCATTAGCTAGATACATCTCCCTTAATAAGTGTCAGCTTTGATTTCTTCCTTCAGGTGAGAATTTTTTCAGTGTGTTTTTCTCTTTAGAGACACTTAAAAAATCTGCCTAAAGCTAAGAACACTCCATACCACCCCCATGCACTTAAAACACAGACCTCCTAAAGCCCTTGCATTCATCTTTTGCATCTCATATTACAAATTTAATTAACAGAGTCTTCAGGAATCACCTTATTTTCTCTCTTTTACTTAAACCCACATTCATTTCAGTACCAGGACATGTTAGTTTTACACCAAAAAATAACCTCAATCTGACTACTTCTCACATTACTAGTACCTCAATTCTAGGCCAGATCTGATCATCTCTCACCTACACGCCTCTGTGCTGTGTGCTGTGCTAAGTCACTTCAGTTCTGTCCAACTCTTTGTGACCCTAGGGACTGTAGCCCACATGTTCCTTTGTCCATGGGATTCTCCAGGCAAGAATACTGGAGCGGGTTGCCATGCCCTCCTCAGGGGATATTCGTGACCCAGGGGTCAAACCCAAGTCTGTTAATGTCTCTTGCATTGTCAGTCAGGTTTGTTTTTTGTGTGTTTTTTTGTTTTGTTTTGTTTTTAACCACTAATGCCACCTGGGAAGCCCTTCCATGACTCTAGTAGCCTCTCTTTTTAAATTTTTATTTTTTAATGGAGTATAGTTGTTTTACATAATAGCCTCTGAGCTGGTCTCTCTGCAAACCACTTTCCTTACAGCAGCCAGTTTCTAAAAATGCATGTGTTTCTGTTGTTTTTCCATTGGACTTGGAATAAAATCCAAATTGTTTGCAGTTCTGTTGTCCTTAGCTGGGCTGGTTGCATTATACCCTGTGTATGTCTTGTTCAGGAGTTAGAGATTATACCCTGTGTGTGTCTTGTTCAGGAGTTAGAGATCTGGGCAGGGAAACTCAAGTTGCTTCAAAGTAGTTTAATTAGTATGAGAATTTTTACCTTATAGTTTTAATAGAATTCCTATACCTTAGAATCATAGTTTATTAACTGGAAAAAAAAAATCATAGGTAATTGATTTCCAGTCCCTTATTTTGGCATTTAAATAAAAAGTTGTTTAATTCTTCTTTTTCTTTTTTTTTTTTTTTTTGTTTTTGTTTTTGATTTATTACAGATCGAGCCGGGAGCATCAATACCCTTGATTCTTTAGACTTTGCAAGATATTCAGATGATGGTAACAGGGAAACAGATGAGAGAGTGGCAGGTAAGATTCTAAAGACAGATTTGGATGTTTTTGACATTGTAGAAATAATGAAATGACTTGAAAAATTCTCTTTCTTCTACAGTTCAGTATGTGACTAGAATTAGACAGTTATCATACAAAGTTATATTACTAATTTATTGGCTTCAGGGAGCATTCCTGAATGTTCAGCAACCCCCAGCTGCTCTTGGTGACACCCTGAGTTTTTGGTTATGTGTGCCTACAACTACTGAGTTCGGCTTACAGCTAACAATTTACAGCCATATAATTATAAAACTGGTGTAAAGCAGGTGTAAGTCAGCCATGGTTTAGTGCGAAGTTATTTGGACCTTGCTTTCCTCATTCCTTTTATCCCCCAGACTGGGGCTAAGTAATGTTTACATGGTATGTACCAATGCAACGCTACTGATGGTTAAAAATTGGTTTAAATACTTTCATGCTGATTGGTGATCAAAACTTTGTCTTCATTCCTTGGATTCTCCCTGGCCACCATGACATCCCTCTAGAAAGTTCATTTGACTTTCCTGTGATCCTAAAAATAGAGGTTGTCAATACTCGGCCCACTCAGGGCTTCCTGGACTTTGCCCATTCCAAAAAGAAGACCAGCATCCTTTTTAGTTGCTTGGTTCCGCATTCCAGTCTCCTTCCCCTCTCCACCCTCCCTCCAGTTTTGCCTTTTTGGCATCACCATAGGATCTGCAGGGACTTCAGAAGACCAATTTGTACCCTCTGTATTCTGCCCACATCAGATGAGGGCAGTTGATTCTTCTGGGGATCCACCCTGAATTTACCAGTGTAGAAGCCCTGGCTCCTCAGATGTCAAGTGACTGGTACCTTTCTGGTGCTTCAGGCTGTGACTGTCAGTTATTGAAGTAGTTCCTGAACATCTTTATAGGAACTGTAGTTTTCACGGGACGTTGACTCTGAGATAGATGGGAAGCCACCCTCAGCTACGTATTTTAACCACCAGAATGGTGGGCACACCTGGCGTAGGAAAGATGCCACATGGGACAGGTGGAGCCTGTGAGGGCCCTGTGGGGTCAGGGAACATCCACACTGTGGCTTCCTCTCTTCATCAACCCTGTTGAATTTTTTTTTTTTTTTTCCTTTACTGGAACAGGGTTGTTAAAACCTGCCATATATTTGCTTGTCGTAGTCATCATGAATAAAGATGAGTGCTGTTGAGTGCTAATTTTTATATAGCACTCGCTCCTTTCTGAACATTTTGTAAATGTATGTTAACTCATTAGGTTATAGAATTATCCTCATCTTCCACTCCCCAAGAAACCGAGGCCTTCAGAGAGTCTTAAGATTTAAGTGGCAGAGCTAAGACTCAAATGTAAAATAGCCCAGCAACAGAGCCCACGACTCTGTACCATATGCCACCTCTTAGGGTGAAGGATTAAGTTTGACCTATGTAAAATGATATTCCAATATGTGCTTTTCATTTATTGCTTGAGAAAAGAGTCATTGAATGTTTAAAAATCTCAAACAGTATTACATGATTTAAGGGAAAAAATGATGTAATCATTTTTAGTTCAGCAGAGGCTCAGAGAGGAGTGAGCCATGAGAACAACAGCAGTATCAGCTGAAGGGGGAAGTCATTGGAAGGCTTCAGTGCAGCTGTCTCCTCGATAGTCATGATTTAGTCATAAGCATTGTTAATTGACAGCTGTGTCAAAAGAGCAAATCACATCAGTAATATCTGAAAATTAGCAAATCAAATGGGAATTATTTTAATAATTTTAGGACTCATCCTCCTAATTATATCATTTTTAAGTGGCATTGTTATATTTAATTATATAGTAAATGTTAGATATTATATGTTTTATGTTATTTATTAAGTGTTAAATACATGGTATTTTAGTTTCTTTGAAACTAACCAAATATATTTAGTTTTGTATATTGTATCATTGTTCATATGGTTATGTATTTGAAAATAACTTCAATCCAGAAACAGACGATGTAATTATTTTCATTCCTCTAATTTTTATTTGAAAACCTAGAGTCAAATTTAAGAGGTTCATCATCATTCTTGTTATTAGGTATGTTGGTATTTTTAATTAGGGGAAACATGGATGTAAAAGCAAGATGTTATAAATAAGCTAAATGCTATAACCAAACATAACTAAGAATGAAAATTTTAAATAGTTGGTAGGTTTCTGTTTTTCTTTTTGTTTACAATATAAATTTATTTATTTTAATTGGAGGCTAAGTACTTTACAATATTGTATTGGTTTTGCCATACATTGACATGAATTCACCACGGGTATACATGGGTTCCCCATCCTGAACCCCCCTCCCATTTCCCTCTTCATCTCATCCCTCTGGGTCATCCCAGGGCACCAGCCCCGAGCACCCTGTACCCTGCATCAAACCTGGACTGGCGATTAGTTTTGACCTTATATTTTTAATCTAAAGATTATACTCTTTCTCTTAATTTTGGGGAAATAAAGTAAATTTTGGTTACTATATAATGCTAATATATAAATACATACGGTCTTGAGAAAGACAAATACTATGTGATATCACTTATATGTGGAATCTAAAAATAATACCAGTGAATATATATATAAAACAGAAATAGACTTACAGACATAGGAAACAGACTTGTGGTTCCCCAAAGCGGAGAGAGGGGAGGATGGAACAGGTTAGGAGTACAGGAGTAACAGATACGAACTACTAAACATGGGTTTACTTCAAAGCACAAAAGTTTATATCTAATATCTTGTAATAACCTATAATGAAATATAGGCTACAAAAAAATGGAATGACTATGCTATACACCTGAAACTAACACAATATTATGAGTCAGTGATACTTCAGTATAAATGAATCAATGGATGCAGTCTTTCATCTTCACTGGGAAAAGGAAGAAAATACATGTAATTACAAGATAACAGCCTTTTGACTCTTAGGGCTCTTGTACCATAGCCTGTTGTTAAACCACGTGTGTAATATGTGGCTGAAAATTTAAATTAATCACAATTCCCATTTCCAAAGAGATTTTTGTCTCTTTACTAACCATTGGTAGTAACTTAGAAGCTAAGTGAGAAGAGATAATTACCATGTCATCTGTCATTGGATCACATGTAAACCTTATTGAGAAAGAACAAAAATCTCTGTTTGATGTTCCTGTACCAGTCTTGGGCAGAAGGAGTTTATAGATAACACAGGTTTTGAGTCCATTGCCCCTTGATGCAAATGTAGGGTCTGCTCCAACCATTAATAAACTGTTTATCTGACATATGTATATCTATATCTATATATATATATCTGTGTGTATGTGTTTTATATATATATTTTTTATATATGTGTTTTATATATATATATATTTTATTATATGCATTATATATATACACACACACACACACACACACATATATATATATATATATATATATAATGTGTGTGTATATATATATATATATATATATATATAATGATTTTCATCATCATTTTCCTAAATTTAAAAATCTGGTTATTTTTTCGAGTCTGTGCAGGTGTTCCTTAAATGAGGAAAAGATCTCTAAATGAACATATGTTTATAGAGCACCATTATTTTGTGCTAAAAGAACTAAGACTAAAAAATATTTTAAGATAGTGGTGATACACAGTTGCATATATCCCAAGTCATGAGTGCCTGGTCTTTAACTAAGCACTCAAGTACCCCTGATATAATAACAATATTATCCAACCTTGATTGAGAAATAACTGTTTCAGCTAATCTAGAATGGCTGATACTGACTTAGTCATTAATTTTTTTGTTAAGATTATAATATGCAGTATTACAATATACCTATATCTTTGCAGTTATTACTTTAGTTCCACTAAAATTGCATTCAACAGTGTTGGGCTAGTAGAGGGTTGGGGTAGTGGCGTGAGCAGGCTGGTAGCTGGTCCCTACAGTGTTTTTTAAAAACATTCACTTCTTCAAACATTCTTATGAAGAATTATAACATTTGAAAATGACTTGGAGGTTTCTTGGTATAATGTATCACTTTACAAAGTAATAAGTTTTGAGTTTTAATCCAATATTTTTAATAAAGAAGTGACAAATCCATATGTGTGTAAATATATCTGTTCAGACCTTTCATGTAAAACTTTTTCACATAACTGCAATTAAATGATCATACTATGCCTTTACAGATATGTGCTGTAGCTTCAAATATATGCCTTTGTCTTTTAAAATCTGTATTATGTTATAAGAAAGAGGCAGCAGAGTGAATTCATTTTGATAAGCACTAGCTTTAAAAGCAGTGATAACTTTTGATGGCATTTGGCAATGTGTGTGTAGATGTGCATAAAAATATAAATTCTTGCCATCTGACTTGGGTTTTTCTGGCTTTCTGTGCCTTGATCATTGATTGTTTTACTCTTGGTCACCTAAACTTTCACCAGTTGGATTGAGTTTTGTTTTGTTTTGTTTTTTTGTTCCCCACAGTTTGTGTTTTAACCAGGTTTTTTTTTTTTTTTTTTTTTTTCCCCCATATTCTATCATTCTGGTGCAGGGCATTTCTGGTCTGCAATTGTTCTGTAATATGTCTTAGTAAATTGTAAGTGATAGTGAAAGTATGATATGTATACTTTCTTTGCTTATAGTATAGTGAAGTGCTTTTAAATCAAAACTTAGAGTTTTGAAATAGAAGAAAAATAAATCTATTCTGTACTTACCTTACATGTCGATTTGTGCAGTCTGACTTTAAATACAAACTCTAAGAGTTTCCAGAAGTGTAATTTTTAGGGAAAATGTTTCTACTTTGTTGCACAGAAATGTCTGTAGATCAGCATTGCTGATGACCAAAAAAAGAAATAGTCATATACCACCAAAAAAAGAAATAGTCTTATACGCGTCATCTGATTTTTAGCTGTGCTTCCATGTTGCTGCAATGAAATTCTGTGCATCAAAATAATTGGCCTTCATGTACTAGATGTGATTCAGTTACATCTTAAGTTTTTAATTAAAATGTGCAAACTGAGTGAATTCTATTTTTTCCATATATTTTTATAGCTTTGTTGTCTCTGATAGCATTTCATTTGCCATCTTCTTTTTTCTGCTTATTAGTCAATCCGGAAAAAGTTGCATCTCTAAAGTTTTAAATTTACTCATCTTTATGGAGAACTATTTAAATGATAAGATTTTTAATATCCAGTTGTGACAAAGATCACTTAATTTTCTCAGAGCTTTTACTTCACAGAAATGACTTTTTCCCCCCAATACTTTTTTCTTCATAGCAGTATTTATATATTTTAAAGAAAATTCCAAGTAAAGACATAGTTAGATCTTACTCATGATGAAACATTTCAAAAAGCTCATTGAAATGTTTCCTCCGTATTCATGTTTATTGTATTAGACGCTGCAGTAAAAGGAGAAATCTTTTAAGTTTCATTAGTACCTCTTACTGTGAACAAATATCTATTTGAAGAGTTGTCAGAAACTGAAATTCTACTTAATTTTCTTCAATATCCTTAGATAAATACACTCTTGGAATTGTACCCAATCATTTGCTTTATAATGATTTTAATTGTAACTTAAAAAGCAAACGTATGTCTATTCTTTGGCTTTAAATGCAACCTAAAGTAAATCCCTTGGAACTTTTTTTAGATATGTGTTTAACATATCTGTGCTTGTTTATAGAAGACATATACTTTGTAGAAAAATTGAGAGACATCCCACATTTGTAAGATACTTAAAACATACTTCTTCAACATCTTCATGAAGGAATATATTCACTGTTTCTGTATGTTGATTTATAACATTATTCTACATAAATATTTTTTTGTAATCCTAAGATTTTCTTTAACTGTATTTGCTAGAACTTCATCTAAGTTTTGTGTTTTCCCCTAAAATTATGTCACCTGAAAACATCCCATTACATTTCTTATCTAGACTGAGTGAAGCACAACACCTAAGGGTTTTTTTTTTTTTTTTTTTTGCCTAAATGAGAATATGCCATAGATTTTATTTTTAACTAGAGCTATTCCTTGTCAGACAACTTGGACATTTGATCAATAGTCCCCTGTATTCTAAAACTATGGAAAACATTCACCAGTTTGCTTGCAAATCAACTCTGCTGCGTGCGTTCACAAGTTTCATAAAGATTGCATGCCTTCTGTTTTCGATACAAATTGTTTTTGTTTTTTTTTTTTATACCCATCCTTGCTTATTTATTTTTCTTTCCCTTTTCTTGGTTGGATGCCTGTGTGTGTTTATTCCAAATCCCTGTCCAGTCCTTGAGTTTGAACTATGGAAAGCCAAGGAGACCATTCAGGCCTTCCGAGCCGACCTGACAAAGGCTGCAGGTGGTGTCCATACAACTTTTTGAGACTTTTTCTACCTTGACAATGTAGAAGTAGCTGAGATATTTTCAAATGTAAAAGAGTAAAATATTATTTGTCTTTTTTCCACCAGAACATGAAGTTCCTTTACAGGAACAAAAAAATTACAAATCAAGTCCTGAAATTCAGGTGGGTGAATGTCAGATCTAAAAGTATCTTCCATATGAAATGGTAGCACAAGTATTGAAAGAGGAAGACTTACAGTAGTGTATCCATCTTTTATCTGTCTCTAGGAGCCAGTCAAACCTCTTGAAAAGAGAGCTCTAAACTTCTTAGTCAATGAACTTTTTTTGAATAATAACTACAAGCTGACATCAATAACGTTTTCAGATGAAAATGATGATCAGGTACAGTTTCCTTTTTTTTTTCCCTCCCCCCCCCCTTTTTTTAAGAATAATTTGTTTCCTTTCTAATTTATAATGTACTTATTTCCTCTTTTATCTAGCTTCTTTGTTTTAAAAGTTATACATACAGTAAAATCCCATAACACCAAAATACTGAATAGAAAAGAAAGAAGATTTCAAATTGATGAAGATTGGTTTCTATTTTAAGAAAGTAGAAAAAGAAAACTAACTGAAGTCTAAAGAAATTGAAAGGAAGGAAGTATTAAAAATGAGAATGTATCAGTGATATAGGCAACAGAGAACAACAGAGAAAAATTAGTAACACAAAAAACTGGGTATTTGAGGTAATGAAATTGGTAAACCTCTAGCCTGACTTATTAAGAAAATGAGAAAAGAAGCAAATTATCAGAATCTGGAATGAGCAAATTTATACCACTGTAGAAATCTACTAGACTTTTAAGGAAGAAGTAAAGTAAATGAACAAGGTTATATTACTGTAGCTACCTACCAGATATTTAAAGAAGAAGTAATAGAACTTCTCCACAAACTCTTCTAGAAATTGCAGAGAAGGGAATTGTTGAAAACTCATTCTATGAGACCAGCACAATTCTGATATCAAAACCAGATACAGATCTGGCTAACAAAGAAAATTACAGGCTCATTTTCCTCATGAGCATGGATATAGAAAATCTATATAACATTTTACTATATCAAATCCAACAATGTGTAAAAATGCTAATACACAATGACCGAGGAACATAAGATTGATGAGTCCAAAAATCAACCATTGTAATTCACCATTTTAAGAAACTTTTCAAAAGAGAAAAGAAATCATATGATCATCTCAAAAGAAAACATTTGGCACACTCAAACGTGTCTTTCCCGTGAAAGCTTTAAAGAAATTAGGAATTGTGAGGAATTTCTCCAAATTCATAAAAGACATTTACAGAAAAACTATCACTAACATCATACTTAATGATGGAAGATAAGGAATAAAACAGGAATATCTGCTCTCACTACTTCTGTTGAACATTGTACTGAGGAATTGAGCCAGTATGAGGCAAGAAAAAGAGATAAAAGGCCTATATTTTGGAAAAGAAGAAAGAAAACTTTCACTGGTAACGTGATTATATATATAGAAAACCCTATAGACTGCATTAAAAAAGACACTATAATAAGTGATGACAGACAAGTTGTAGGATACAAGATCAGTAAACAAAAATGAATTGTATTTCTGTATGCTAGCAACAAATAGACATTCGACTTTTAAAGATACCATTTACAAAAGAATCAAAAAATATAGGAAATACTTAGGAATAAGTATGATGAAGGATTATGCACTGAAAGCTATTATACATGCTGACAGAAAATAAAGAAGACATAAGGAAGAGATATATTGTGTTCATAGATGAGATTCAGTATTGTCAAAAAGTGTCAATTTCTGTAAAATTGATTTGTACTTTTAATACAATCCTAATCAGAGTCTCGCCAGCTTTTTTGTAGAAGTTAGCTTATTCTAAAATTTCTATGGAAATGGAAATAATATAGTATAGCCAAAACAACTTGAATAAAGAAGTACAAAATTAGGGGACTTCAACTAGCTGACTTTAAGATATTATAGTTCTGGCAGTATCTTATTGACATAAACATAGATAGGTCATTGGAACTTAGTGGAGAGTCAAGAGATTAATTTACACATAGATGATCTTTTGATGTCTAACAAAGCACAAAGTAAATTCCATTCAGAAAGTAGTCTTTTTTACAATTGGTGCCGTAACATTTTGATATCTATATACCTCCAAAATCGAACTTCAAGCCATACCTCATACCATATACAAAAAGTAATTCAAACGGATCATGGATTTAAATGTAAATTCTAAAGCCATAAGGCTCCTAGAAGAAAACATGGAAAAATTCATTGCAACCCTGGAAGGTAGGCCAAGATTTCTCGTGTATGACACCAAAAGTATGGTATTCTTCATCAAATATGTGTTCTCATCAAAGTCAATAACTTCTCTTTGAAAGCCACTCTAAACACATGAAAAGATGAGCTGTAGATTAGGTAAAGTATTTCAAGTAACATATCTGATAAAGAATTTCTATCCAGAATATTTAAAGAACTCTCTAAAGTGAATAATTTTTAAAAGAAGACCCAATGTTTTTTTCTTTTTGCTTTAAAAAAATTTTTTTCCAATTATTTTTATTAGTTGGAGGCTAATTACTTTACAACATTGTAGTGGTTTTTGCCATACATTGACATGAATCAGTGACAAAAAAATTATACAGATGCTTCAAAAAAGAACATATATGGATATAAAATAAGCACATGAAAAAAGACGTTCTACATCTTTAGTCATTAGGGAGATAATATTAAGTCACAATGAAATACCATAGCACACTTACTAAAAGGTTTAACTGAGACTGTACCAAGTCTTGGCAAAGATGTGGAATTAAGTAGAAATATCATCATTGCTCTTGGGAGTCCAAAATGCTGCAGTCACTTTGGAACATATTTTCGCAGTCTATTTAAAAAAAAGTAAAACCTTCACCACCTGTATGACTTACTCATTCCGTTCGTAGATATTACAGTCCAAGAGAACTGACCGGAGATGTTCATACCAAGACTCCTACACAGTGTTCACACCAACTTTATTTATAATAGCCGACATTAGAGAGACAACCCAAGTATCCAAAAGCAGGCAGTTGAACAAAAAATTCTGATGTATCGTTACAGTGAAATGCTAACTCAGCAATAAAGAAAAGTGAACCTCTGAGAGATGCAACAACATAGATTAGTCTGAAAATCAATAATCTGGATGAAAGAAACCAGGCAAATAGAGTACTTGCTGTATGCTTCCACTTATATAAAATTCTAAGAAATGTAAACTTGTAACAGTGACAGAAAACAGAACACTATTTGCCGAGGAACAGGGCATCTTTGAGGAAAAAGGGGGAAGTATTACAAGCAGCCAGTAAAACTTTGGGGAGTGAACAGTTCATCTTTTTTTTTTTTTTTTTTCATAGCTTTGGTGTTTAATTTTTTTCCCCCCCTCTGCTTTATTTGTTTATTTTTGGCTGTGCTGGGTCTTCATTGCTGTGCTGGCTTTTCGCTCATTGCAGCGAGTGGGGGCTACTCTGTAGTTGCAAAACACGGTCTCTAGGGCTGTGGGCTTCAGTAGTTGCAGAACATGGGCTCAATACTTGCAACTCCCAGGCCTTAGATCAAACAGGCTCAGTAGCTGTGGCACACAGGTTTAGTTGCTCCAGGACCTGTGGGATCTTCCCAGATCAGGGATCGAACCTGTGCCTCCTGCATTGGTAGGCGGATTCTTTACCACTGAGCCACCAGGGAATTCCCCCAAGTTCATCTTCTTGATTGCACTGATCTCTTCAGGTGTGTACTCAGATGTCAAAACTTAGCAGATTGTACATTTTAGATTAGCTTGTGGATTTAAGACTTCCCCGTTGGCTCAGATGGTAAAATCGTCTGCCTACAAGGTGGGAGACCCAGGTTCAATCCCTGGGTCGGGAAGATCCCCTGGAGAAGGAAATGGCAACCCACTCCAGTGTTCTTGCCTGGAGAATCCCATGGACGGAGGAACCTGGTAGACTACAGTCCAGGGGGTCACAAAGAGTTGGATTTAAACTGTGTGGTTTGTTATTTATTGATTATATACCCCAATAAAACTATTTTATAAATGGCAGTGCAAGTGCTCATCATTGCTTATTCTTTAACCACTAAGTGATGTTTAATGGTCATTTCAACTGACCTTAAAGCAGTTCTATCCTAGAGCACTCACTCCTTTCATGTTTAGCTTCTGCCTAAAATGTATGACTTTACCTGATTTTATTTTTCGGATCATTTATATTAGTGACCTGATTTTATCTTCATGGCTCTATTGTTATCTAAGATTATCTCTTATCTCCCTTGACTAGCCTATAATCTTCTTGAGGCTAAATGAATCTCTTGTTCATCTCTGTATCTGCATGAATAGTAACACTCAATACACACTTATTGATATTTTTCTTATATTTTTATCTGCATATAATCCTTGTCTTACTGTTTTTTGGTTCCCTCTTGCCCATTCTTTCCTTTACTTCCTATCTTTCCTTTCTGTGGTGCTATGTGAAATTTTCTTATTGTAAATAAACATTCTTTATTTTCAACTTCTCTCTGAAGTTGAATATATAATATATAATTATATTTATATATATATAATTTATTTATAATATATATTTATATATATATAAATTATATAATATATAATTTTAATTTTAGAAATTTATTATTTTTTAATTCTTTGGTTGTGATGGGTCTTTGTTGCTGCATGCAGGCTTTCTCTAGTTGTGGCGAGCTGGGGTTACTCTTCACTCTGGGGTACTCTCCTTCCTTGGTTTTTCTTGTTGCAGAGCTCAGGGTCTAGGTACATGAGTCTCAGTAGTCGCAGGTTGCAGGCTCAGTCGTTGTAGCCCTCAAGTTCTAGAGCTTGCACTTACTAGTTCCAAGGCAGGTGGAATCTTTCTGGACCAGGGATGCAACCCAGGTCCCCTGCATTGGCAGGCACGCTCTCATCCACTGTGTCACTAGGGAAGTCCAGAATATCCTTTTTGCTGTAACAAAAACTTGTCTCTCCACTGAGGACCCTGTTTCCTTTATTTTGCAAGTATGAGGTGGGGGTGCATCTCACACTCTAATCCTAGACATTTCCTGACTCCCAGGATGTTTATTCACCAGGCACATACACTTTGACATTATCACACATTTATGTTGAGTTTTCAAGATATTAGCAATAAGGAAAAGATACAACTCAAAAATGCAAGATAAAATTGCTGCATAGATTTTTTTAATGCTACTGTTTTTTATCTTTAAGGATTTTGAACTATGGAATGATGTAGGATTAAACATTCCCAAACCTCCAGACTCGCTACAGCCCTACCGAGATTTTGGAAATCATCAAGTAACTGGAAAGACCTTGTGGATGTGGCCAGTGATGTAGAAGAAGGCAAATTAGAGGCTCTGACACCAGTTTTAGGCAACTTTCCTTCAACCCTTGAAACTCCTTAGACTGTAGAGGTGAGAGCTATTAATAATCAAGTCCACAAAAAGTGTTTAAGCCATGTCAAAGCAGACTATGAGATCTTGAGTTTCTGTTTTTCTCCCATTTTGATTTTAGAACTCCTTGCTAGTGCAGAAATTAGAAGATAAAATTAGTTTATTAAACAGTGAGAAATGGTCTTGGATGGAACAAATCAGAAGACTTGAAACGTTAGTACTTAATCATCATTTCTATAAAACCTCTTAAAATTATTAAAGAAATTGACAGATTATATAAACATATAAGATAATATTTCAGTGGCAAGCTATAATTTTTCATATCCTAATAGTTCTGGGGGAAAAAATCTTACAATTGCTTATATACTTAATGTATTCTTTTCCCCCCAAAAGTTGTTAATCACTGTAATAATCATTAAATCATATATGTCTTAGAACCAAAGAGTAAGATATTTTTTACCTTCTTCAGGTTGTATCAGTAGTAATAAAGTAACTTCTTCGTGCTAGTGTTATACATATTTTCCATTCATTATTTCATTTAATTCTTATACTCATGATGTGGGTTAGATGGAATTTTCCACATTTCGCACACAAAGAAGGCTAAGTGATAATCCAGTGCATAGTTTATAAAACCATTTTTATGTTTTGTAAGAGTTTGTGGCTACATTTCTATATGAAGCATCAATATGCATGGTACAGAAAAGATTAATTAGTTGCCAACCCACTTTCTATTAATATGTTATACTTTTAAAGCATTAAACCCAGCATGAGGTTTATGCTATTGCCAAAGTCTTAAAAAATACAATTCCTCACTAATAATTTCTCTTTCTTTTACAGTGAAATGGACTTCCTCAAAAATGAACACTTTGCCAGCCCTGTAGTTTGTGACTTTGTTTAGCCTTCTTTGGATCAGTCTCCTCACAAAGACTCTAAAGACAGTGGAAAGAATTCATTTATAAATAATTTGGACAAGGGAGAAAACAAGGATGTCCATCTTTCAAAATCAGATGAAGTTGATTCCACTGTTCCTAAACAGAATTTCCACATTCTTTCCCCAGGAGAGAAAGAGAAGGAATACCATCTTCTTCTCCATCAAGTAAAAACGCAGTCCATTTTTATAAACCCAATAGGTTAGTATGTGTTGTGTTTTGAAATGCATCTTTCAGCTATTTAGTACATTGTCAAACTAGAAGAGTTTCAGTTCTTATTTTGCAGATCAGATACATGATTTATGTGTCTGACATGAACTTAAGACATAGCAGAGTCCACATCACTGCAAAAAAATCACAAGTAATGACTAAGTTAAATTGTGTTAAAGAGGAAGAGACCATAAATGAACTAGGTCCTATTTTAGCTAAGTACTGAAACCCATAAATAATATGTATGTTCTGTGTGCTGTATTTTACCCAGTGTTTTTTTTTTTTTTTTTTTTACCTTTTCTGTGTTCTACAGTCATTATCAGATTCAGTAGAAAGTTTTGATATTCAATAGTTGCCTTTACTAAAATGGCGATTAGTTCTTGATCTTAGTCCTTTTTCCTGTGTCTGCTTCCATTAGTAATGTTGTGTCATTAATGTTATCTTAATTAATTTAATTTTTATTGAATAGCAGTGATTGAACTTAGATGACTAAAGCAGGGTCCTTTGCCCATCATGATTATGTTTCCTAGTAGAGGAGACAAAAAGTATTTACATTATAATGTGAAAAAAAGAATATTCTCTAAGAGAGGAATATTTATTGAGATCTTTTTATATATCAGGCACAGTTCTAAAATACTTTACATATGCTAGCTTAGTTAATCCTCACACATACCTTGTGATGCATTCTGAGCCAGTCTTACTTCCTCCTCCTATTAAATGGAGGAGTATTAGAGCAAGTGTTGGGATGTAATAGGAAAGCATGACTAATTTGTTTTAGACTTAAAGGTACTCACTATTAGTGAGAAGTATTTGATTTTTGATTTTCCCAAAGCAAATTTTTTTACTCATATGCCACAACTTTGTGTGTGGTTGTGTGTAATTGAAATAGATGTGGCCCAGACCTCAAAGTGCATTTAGTCTAATATGGTTAAGATATAGTCGTAAAAATAATGCAGCGGCATTTGTAGTAGTTCTTAATGTTTAGTAGTTCCATATATCTCCTTTATAGTCCAAAGCCATTCTCAGGAGAAAGATGATTGTTAAATTTATCCAACTGCTTTTTTAGCTCTTAACTGTATGTCAGGCAATGTTAATGAAGAGTATGAAGTTTAAAAGAAGAGTGAAAGTGTTAGTTGCTCAATCTTGTCTGACTCTTTGGGACCCCATGCACTATAGCTTGCCAATCTTCTCGAGGTCCCTGGAATTCTCCAGGTAAGAATAATGGAGTGGGTAGCCATTCCCTTCTTCGGGGGATCTTCCCAACCCAGGGATTCAGGCTGGGTCTCCTGCATTGCAGGCAGATTCTTTACCATCTGAGCCACTAGAAAAGCCCAAATGAAGAGTATAGTAACGGTAACCAAACATATGGTACCCTTTGGTTACAAACTTTACAGTATGAGAGAGACTGTCAGGCAATTATAATATTGTAAAAGGTAGTAATATAAGGGAAGTTCAGCTTGCTTGGGGAACACACAATCAGGGTACCTAAGCTAGTCATCAGAGTAGGAAAGGTTTCAGGGAAGAAGTATTTTCTAACTTTATACCTGAGGAGTAAGTAGCAGTGAACCAGGCAAAGAGATAAGAGGAAGTCTTCCCCCTAAGAGGGACTAACAGGAGCAGGAAGAACACTGCACTTGGGGAACTAAGAAGGATTTAGGAAGATTGAAGCAAATCATGCAAATGAGAAGAAAACAGGAGGGGAAGTTGGAGAATTAAGCTAAGACTAAGTCATATAACCTGTGTTGACTCATTTTAGAGATCTGGAACATGATCGTATCTAAGTTTTAAAAGAAAGTAAGGAAAACCACTAGACCATTCAGGTATGACCTAAATCAAATTCCTTACGGTTGTACAGTGGAAGTGACAAATAGATTTAAGGGACTAGATCTGATAGAGTACCTGATGAACTATGGATGGAGGGTCGTGACATTGTACAGGAGACAGGGAGCAAGACCATCCCCAAGATAAAGATATGCAAAAAGCCAAAATGGTTATCTGAGGAGGCTTTACAAACAGCTATGAAAAGAAGAGATGTGAAAGGCAAAGGAGAAAAGGAAAGATATACCCATTTAAATGCAGAGTTCCAAAGAATAGCAAAGAGAGTTAAGAAAGCCTTCCTCAGTGATCACTGCAAAGAAATAGAGGAAAACATTAGAATGGGAAAGACTAGAGATCTCTTAAGAAAATTAGAGATACCAAGTGAAATTTTCATGCAAAGATGGGCACAATAAAGGACAGAAATGGTATGGACCTAACAGAAGCAGAAGCTATTAAGAAGAGGTGGCAAGAATACACAGAAGAACTGTACAAAAACATCTTCACCACCCAGATAATCACAACGGTGTGATCACTCACTTAGAGCCAGATATCCTGGAATGTGAAGTCAAGTGGGCCTTAGGAAGCATCACTATGAACAAAGCTAGTGGAGGTGATGGAATTCCAGGTAAGCTATTTCAAATCCTAAAAGATGATGCTGTGAAATTGTTGCCCTCAATATGCCAGCAAATTTGGAAAACTCAGCAGGGCCACGGGACTGGAGAACGTCAGTTTTCATTCCAATCCCAAAGAAAGGCAATGCCAAAGAATGTTCAAACTACCACACAGTTGCACTCATCTCACTTACTAGTAAAGTAATGCTCAAAATTCTCCAAGTCAGGCTTCAGCAATACATGGACCATAACTTCCAGATGTTCAGGCTGGAATTAGAAAGGGCAGAAGAACCAGAGATCAAATTGCCAACATCCAGTGGATCAAGGAAAATGCAAGAGTTCCGGAAAAACATCTATTTCTGCTTTATTGACTATGCCAAAGCCTTTGACTGTGTGGACCACAATAAACTCTGGAAAATTCTGAAAGAAATGGGAATATCAGATCACCTGACCTGCCTCTTGAGAAATCTGTATGCAGGTCAGGAAGAAACAGTTAGAACTGGACAGGGAACAACAGATTGGTTCCAAATAGGAAAAGGAGTATGTCAAGGCTGTATATTGTCACCCTGCTTATTTAACTTCTATGCAGAGTACATCATGAGAAACGCTGGGCTGGAAGAAGCACAAGCTGGAATCAAGATTGCTGGGAGAAATATCAATAACCTTAGATATGCAGATGACACCACCCTTTTGGGAGAAAGTGAAGAAGAACTAAAGGGCCTCTTGATGAAAGTGAAAGAGGAGAGTGAAAAAGTTGGCTTAAAGCTCAACATTCAGAAAACTAAGATCATGGCATCTGGTGCCATCACTTCATGGCAAATAGATGGGGAAACAGTGGGATCAGTGGCAAACTTTATTTTGGGGGGCTCCAAATCACTGCAGATGGTGACTGGAGCCATGAAATTAGAAGACGCTTACTCCTTGGAAGGAAAGTTGTGACCAACCTAGACAGCACTTTTTAAAAGCAGAGACATTACTTTGCCAACAAAGGTCCATCTAGTCAAGGCTATGGTTTTTCCAGTAATCATGTATGAATGTAAGAGTTAGACTATAAAGAAAGCTGAGTGTCGAGGAATTGATGCTTTTGGATTGTGGTATTGGAGAAGACTCTTGAGAATCCCTTGGACTGCAAGAAGATCTGATCAGTCTTGAGTGTTCATTGGAAGGACTGATGTTGAAGCTGAAACTCCAATACATAGGCCACCTGATGCCAAGAACTGACTCATTGGAGAAGACCCTGATGCTGGGAAAGATTGAAGGCGGGAGGAGAAGGGGAAGACAGAGGATGAGATGGTTGAATGGCATTACTGACTCAATGGACATGAGTTTGAGTAAACTCCGGGAGTTGGTGACGGACAGGGAGGCCTGGTGTGCTG